GATAGTTAGTCACGATTAGTCGTGTTGAAAAACTAGCACAACCGAAAGCAAGAAGATCAACATGCAGTGATATTGTTAAAGTTGTCTTGTCCTGATTAATTGCGACGATGAAATCGCGTGAACTCTGCCCGAGGCCTAATGCGAGATGGAAATGGTGACTGCAAATTCGAAACACAATCGAGATTGAATCATCGAGTGGGAAATCAAGGGAGGAATGCACGATAGAGGCCTCCTCGACGACAACGAGCTGTTTGCACGATTTATTGTGGTTGTTTGTGTCTGTTTGCAAGTGCATGAGTGTTCAATTCGTCGCACGCAGAGGCAGGCCGCTACTGCGGGCTCTGTCTGCGTCTCTTAGATCAGACGGACTATTGTTCGCCTGACCATTCACGGTCTCTTCCTCCGAACTATCGTGTTTAGACGCAACGGCGTCCAGTCTTTGAGTGCGATTTGCGTCTAGCACGTGTTTTTTTCTCACTTTCGAGATAGTGAAAGGTTCAATTTTTGGATCTAAACACTTTTGGTGATTTCAGCTTTCATTGCTGTTAACACCTGTACATTGAACTTTAGGGTGGACGCTTTGTACGTACATCTACTCGTGCAATGATGTCGCTGAATGAGCAGTTTCAGTCGATGCGCGTTTTTAATAATCATCCTAAAAGTAGGTTTTGTCTTCACCTTCAGATTATTTCGTAGTGACACTGAAATAGTCCATGTCACTTTCAGAGGGACAGAGCGAACTTTGCGTACGTCGGCGACTCCCCCTGAATTGCCTAATTTCTAGACACTTGAGGAAAGCCGCCACTTCTCAGGAGAGTATACGCACCTATTTCACCTTTTTCCTACGTAATCAGAAAAGCCTTTCTCAAATGATCTCTCTATTTGTGTCTCCACTCAAGCTACTACTGTTATCGAACCTGACGGTCTCTTAGCATTTACTTGTTTAATCAATATACCTCTGTTTGACCCATACCCGATCTCTGCCTTAGATATATCTTTCATCCACTATTTCACACATATATCGATGTTACAGTAAGAATAATAATAGTTTGCTTTATATAGATTTCTAGCTATATGGACTTTTCCGAGGGGGGAGGAGGGAAGGGGGGGGGGGGTAGGGAATGGGGGAGGGGCGTATCCGACGGTCGTGTGCCGCACCCTCCGCTTTACCCTGGAGATGAGCGCTGCTTTCGCTTTGAAATTTCGGGGGTTCGAAGTGGCAAAGAAAGATCGAACTCTGACCCATAGGTTCCATTATGGGGGCTCCTACCCTGTGACCTTGTTTTGCCACGGGTCTCATTCTGCCGACCTACTGCCTTTAAGCAAACAAGAAGCGCACTTTGTAGGCACTTTAGAGTCAACTAGTATTGTAGCACATGAATAAACGTTGTTCTACTTCTATAACAGTGTACAAAATAAGCACAATTACGTACCTAATATTTTGTTTTATTCTCATTTTCTGTCGGTACTCTCCTGTGTAAAAAACTCAACAGTTTGATATTATCACTGCCAAATATAAGCGCTCATACGAAAATGTTATTTGAGATGTACCAAAACTGATTTGTAACAAATGAACATTATATGCATTTGCTCGTGTTTATCAAGCAGTATACCATCACCGTTTACACATGATACATCATGAGGCAAATTAGTGTCTGATATATACCTGTTGATATCTAACTCTTACACATCAAAGCTGAGAGCTTGCAGATTTCAGTGAGACAGTTTGATTATTGACGAAGCATATTCTTGTCGGTTTCCCGATATTTACGAAATCACAAATCGAAGGGAACCCTCTTCAAACTGAAACGTGTCAAACCGCTTACAAGTTATTAGTCCTACCAAATAAATACTTTGGACACGAACCTAAATGCTAGACTCAAACATTGCAAAAAGTTTTCGCAACAAGTTCCTTGCGCTCCTACTTGGAAGGTCCAATAAGGAGAGCTCACTTTTCTTAGAACGCGGTTTGCAACTTTGTATGGAAGAAAGCTTGAAAGGTAAAGTTTCACAGTGTTAAATCAAAACAACAAAAAGTGGGAAATGATAATGGTCTGAGAGTTTCTAAACTGATCTATGGCATTTGGGTGCGTATGCTTTCGCTAAGTTATTTTCCTTAACGAGTGCGCTAAAATTTTACCCTTGATTTCCTGCATTTGCATTGCTAACAATAAGACATTTACTGGAATATACTTGTGGGCAAATTTCGATGAGAACTCATTGTTGGGAAATTCTACAAGGTCTAGTCCATAGCGACTGCGACTATTCATAGCGACTGCGTCACCTGTACTTGAGCAAAAACACCATCGTTTGAACAACCCGTCAGCGTTCTCGAAACAGAAGCACAGCAGATGTCCTCAACCAAGCAATCGCTATCTGTGATTGTACACATGCAGTTTAAGCCAACAAGTCATTGGTGGTGGGGCCATCGCCATGTTCGATAACAGTGTAGCAAACGGAAAAACAACATGGTAGCGTAAAAATAGGGTGATATTTTTTTGGCTTTACTATCCGGTAGAGATTCTAGAGGAAATGGAATTACACAAAGCCACTACCAAAATGAGGATGAGTTCTGTGTTCACCGTACTTCATGTAACAGCTGTGTTCTACCTGGCGGAAAGGAAAAGCAGCTAAATAGGGATTTAGTATTTGCAAAGATCCTTACTATCATCCATGTTAAAACTACTAGAACGTATCGGGTGCGTGGCGTTAGGTACCCAGCCGAGGTGCGGGCGTTAAGTACCCAGCCATTAGTGATATACACTAAGCCACGCCCCTTGGCTGCTTCAACAGCGGGTACCTAGCGATACAACAAATCCTAGCTGCTAGAACAGCCCATCTAGCTCGCTGAAGCGCTGGAGCTTGCGACCCACATGAAAAAGATAGTTCGAGAAAATCAAAAATTGCGCGAATGAAAGCGCAAGTTTACAACGCTTTTTCTATTGCTGTTCTTAAAATCAGTTTTAGAACCATAGAAATTCGGTGATGAAAGCTAAAAACAGGGTAAAGCTTTTATGAGCAGTTCACATAGTTTTGCAAAAAAAAATGAATCTGAACCGATAATGTCAGAGGTAATCTTATGAAAGTAAACTAAACCTTGTAGAATACTAATAAATCAAAATTTTATGACTTTAATGAAGAAAGGCGCACTTTGATGCGCCCTTGGCAAATGTTAAACGGAATATTCCTTTCACATATTGTCATAGGCTCGTTTTGAGGTGTGAAGTCAAGGGTCGTACACTTGCGTTAATATTGCCACAGGAATTGTGAACCATGTCAACGTATATTATTAAAGTTATTATTTCGGTCATAGTTAAGACCAACAGATTTATGGGGCATTGATAAGCACACATTTTTCTTTATTTTGGAAGATTTCTTGTGTGAAAATTTCATTGAGCTACTGTATTTCATCATGCCTACGTTCTCTATAATGCTTTTTTGGAGGCCTTCATATTGCAATTGTTTCATATTCATTTTCTTTTCTAGCAGCCAAAATATGCTCAGTTTATCCAACCAAAGCTATGAATTTTTTTTGTAACTCCCTAAAAGGCGAAAGATTTTCCCAATAATTGTTCTCAGTAGAGTTGCTGCTTTTTCCTGTTGCATTTTCTTGGCGACACTCATCCGAAATTGGCATAGCTCTGTAATCTACAGTTTTCGTTGACTGGAACAAAGCTTGCCCTTCTCATATCAATGGGCCATTTATTCCGCCTTAAAGTTCCGATTCCTGATGACCTCGTCGAAGGCTCTTCTTTCAATCGGTTCCTCTTCTCATTGTCAAAAATATATTTGAAGCAGCTTTTGTTAAAACAAAGGAATATTTCGTGCAACTTATTTGCCAGGAGCGTCTCCGCAAGTGCGCTTTGCTTCAGTAATATCATAAATATAATTCTACAAGGTTCACTTTTTTGAAACTCCCGCTGACTTATCGGTTAGATCACATTATCACAATTTTTTTTGCAGAACTATGTAAACTGCTCATAAAAGCCTTACCCTGTTTTTAGCTTTCATCACTGAATTTCTGTGATTCTAAAATTGATTTTAAGAAAAACAATAGGAAAAGCGTTGTAAACTTGCGCTTTCATTCGCGCATTTTTTTGATTTTCTCGAACTATCTGTTTCATGTGGGTCGCAAGCTCCAGCGCTTCAGCGAGCTAGGTGGGCTGTTCTAGCAGCTAGGATTTGTTGTATCGTTAGGTACCCGCTGTTAAAGCAGCCAAGGGGCGTGGCTTAGTGTATGCCACTAATGGCTGGGTACCTAACGCCCGCACCTCGGTTGGGTACCTAACGCCCGCCCCCCGAACGTATCCTGCGCTTAAGCGCAAGAATTGTCTAATTAAAGTCTCTCAGTCAGTTTCCACATAAAAGATTCATAAAAGTTCGGTAATTGAGATGGCCCTGTACAGCCTTTAAAAGCACGCAGAGTTTGTTTTAGAGATCAGATTTGGTACATACATATGCTTTGGATCACAACCCAAACGCACGTATTTTTTGACGTAGACATGAAATTCGTCATCTAACTCACCTAAAATAGCGTCAATCTCATTCTTGGTATGAAATACCCACGCTTAACCTTTGTACCTAGCTGTCTAATTTAGTGAGCCCCATACAAGAATAAAGGGTATGCACATATTATCTGACATTAATTCAAACAGTATCGATTAGCCAAATAATTTGACTGCACTTTTTTGATTACAAGGTCTATAATCGTTATATAAGAGCTGGTAAAATACGAGGAGTAGAACTCATGGAGACATGAACGCGTGCCTCTTTCTAGTGCTAGTAAGTCTTTTTTCTTTCATAGTGGTGTCCCACGCTCAGAATTCAAACTATTGCCACCACTTTCTACAGTTTCGAAACGGGATATACGATCAAACTTGCAGAATGTCTTTATCGTGGCGAAAATACACGGAGCCTGTTAATCATATTCATTTTTTCTTGCTCGGGCATTCAAAATGCTAAGCTTGGAAATGACATTCTAGAATGTAGTTCGCCAAAATATGCAACAAAATGCCTTCAATTTGGTATATATATTGCCTGAACTTCCCAGAAGAACATGATGTTTTTCTCTTGAATGATCTCTTCCAGGTTATTGCTGTAGATGTGAAAGCAATATGCGAAGACCTGAACTGTAGTGCGTATTCAATTCACAGAGACGAGAACAACAAGATTAGAGCTGAAGTGGTAAAAATCGTTTCTAAGGTGAGTAGACGAAAATTGGAAATAATTTCGCACAACAATCTGTGTTTGTTTTCGTTATATACTACAAGATTTTCAATGGGATGTGTGGAGAAGCTACCTACATATTTTGCAAAATTTGATTACGAGCTCTAACGTATCTTTAAGAAGTACGAATGTCAGTATGAAGAATTTGCATCCGAGATCCGTGATGAAGTCCTAAAAGTGGACGTGAATAAAAATCTTTCTTCACGTCAACTAGAAGATATGATGGAGAAAACAGTAGACGTGCGGGTGCACTCTGCACTGAACGCTACTGTTATAAGAGAGTAAGTTCACGCAGCTTACATCATCCTTATAGTCATCGTGAACTGACAATTTCACAACATCTTGCAGGGGCGAACTTCGAGAAAAATTGGAGCAGTTAAACGAAAAGTTGTTAGTTATTGGTTGCGCGCGATTCATATACGGTCACGTTCAAGCCGAATCAACAACTAGACCAACTGTTACCACTCCTTCCCCTCCTATCCCTCCTACTCCACCAAGGAAACCAGCAGTTAAAGGTAAGAAAAAGAAGAAAAAACAACAAGGGAAAAAGAAACGGCCAAAGAAAGTCAACAAACTAAAGAGGAGGAAGAAGTATAGGAAGGCTAGAATGGCACCATTACGAAATATAAATCGGGGGAAGAGCAAAGAAACAAAGAAGTCCAAGAACCTATCAAAGAAAAGCAAAAAGAAGAGAAAGAAGAATAAACGGAAAAGGAAGCCTCGACCTAGTTTGCCTCGGCCTAGTTTGCCTCGCCCAAGTCTTCCAACTACCAGCGCACCTAACTCAAATCTTCAAAGACCTGTCGGCTCAATCTACTATGTGTGTGTCTTCTACGAATCAAAAACCAGGAATTCTAATAGCAGATTAGATATTGTTTGATGTTCATTTCTGTATTGTTTGATGCTCATTTCTACTTCTTCTGTCCGCTTCTTGCATAAAGCTTTCATTCCTTGTCTAGTTCAAATATCTCAAATATGAGCACACTGTGGTTTTCAAGTTCTTCACACGTTACCCTAAGTTGCATTCAATACTATCATTTAATGCAAGTAACCAGTTAACTTATACGACTTTACTCAAGTTTTTTTTTCATATTTTGCGCTAACACCTGGTAGTTAGCAACAGTGCAGTAGGAAAACATAAAAACTTTTCTAGACTCCTAATTGATGATTAATTCTAGACTTCTAGACTAATAACTCTTTGATTTTCTCAATGGTAAGAACACTACTTCGGCCACATTTTTGCCAAAGAGCATGCCATGGATAAACAGCGCCTGGATCACGTTTTTGAGTTAACATGAAGGGAATTTTTTATTCATACATCGGTCTTGGTCACGATTCCCTGTACCTCTATTCAACATTGGCTAAATTGCTTTCGAAAGGAGTACGAGATTTGAAAAACCCATACAGAAAGTCTCGGCTTTGTGTGAAGAAAATGCTGAAACTAATGATTTGCATTATGTTGAGAGAAACGATCTAGAAGCATGCTGACTTTTTATGTTGCTTGTTTTTATTTCTTGACTGCGTTTCCGACAAAGCTTGATTATCCAGCCTTTCAACTATTCTCAATTTTTCTCCCTCATGCCAGATTGAATAGATCTATTATTTCAGGCATTTTTGAATAGTGTTACTGACCGTGCTTATGCTATTGCTAACCGTGAATCTGGCCGTCTCATCAACAGGGAGGCCTAGCGGCCTTGCTGTCTCACCGAATCTAGCCCCAGACCCTGCCATTTCACATTTATTAGTATGAATTATAGAGATCTTGCTTTCACCTAAAATGAATCTTTATCGGGGACAAGTCAGCTAGCTTTATCCGCGAACCCTAGGAGACGCCTCACCTAGCAATTAACCTACGAAGATCATTTGAGCGCTGAGTCATGAAAACAAGAAGTTCTGCACAAGTGTCATAAAAATTATTTGATAAACTACGACACCCAATAATTTCATATCTTAAGCACCTCGTAGCGATACGCATGTCTAAGATTACCTTCCTCTATCGATCAATATCGATTTCATTGATTTTTGGAAAATTTGAGATATGGGGCTTGGAGTTGGCATAGGGAGTAAGTAAGCATGCTGATTACGAATACATATAAAAATCCAACTTAACGATCAACTTTATCGAATCTATCGATTGCATAGTAGCTACGAGGCCGAGAACACGGCTCGGCACAGGTGGCTTGTAAGCCAACTGGTATCGTTTTTTGGGACGAAAAGCAAGGGGGTTTCGTTTTTGTGACCGAAAAGACACGGGAAATTGGCGACGGCGACCTTTTTTTTCTTTTTTTTAGTCGACGTTTCGTTTTTTGGGGGATTTTGGGGAATTCAGGTTTTTAAAGGAAATTTGGTTGAGGGTCAAAGGGGACTTCGTAAAAATTCCCAAAAGTCAAGGGGACTTCGTTTTTTCCATTTTCATCTAGCCACCTCGTGCCGAGCCCTGGCCGAGAGCTGGGGCAGGGGGAGGGGGGAGGGGGAGGGTAAGTCAGCGTGCTAATAACGAATAATAACCTTTGGTAAAAATACCCATCACGTTTACCAATTTTATCGATTTTTAGTGCAGAGGTGAAGGGTATGCTGTTTAGATGTTCATAGTAAAGGAGCGAAGTTAGAATTGGGAGACGAACCAAGTTCTACCGAATGGTCGCTAAAGAACTGCCTAAATCGTAAAGCATGTAAAATTTGGAGCCAAGGATCAAAAAATTTTTAACTACCTCGAACTCAGATCTCCTTCCAGAGAATTTCTACGGAGCTCGGACTTGGTGATTATACAGTACAGTAGACAGATAGTAGTTCCAAAAAATGTATTTGCTGGATTTTTCGGAAGCTCATGAGAATTCAAAATCGCCGGGAAATGCAAAAATGTCACTTTATTCGAGTTTTGGGTTAAACTTGGTATTTCTCGATTACCAAGGCTCATACAGAGAAAAAATTTTGAAGTTACACCTACTAAGGCTTGCAGTATACAATGGATGTGTGGGAGGTCCTGGAGGCGATTTGTCATCCTTGAGCTATCTTTTTTTTGCTTTTTTCTGTGCGCGGAATAAATCCAGTAAAAGCATATTTGACTACTATTATGGGTATAGTGTATTAGGTCGTTCCATAAGTTCGTAGCGCTTTTATAAACCAACAAAATCATCAATTCACAGTAAAAATCACTCAAAATTATATTCCTTGCTGTAGCGCACAACCTTTTGGCACATTCCTGTTAGCTTCTCAACCTCAATTTTTCAAACGGCAGCGCGCCGGGTCCCAAGATAGTCATTTAACCAGCGCTCAAGTTGCTCACTGAAATCGAGACATGCACAATTCATGAGGTTTGCCAGAGAGCGGAGCAAATGATAATCTGGTAGAGCGAGGTTTGGAGAGTATTTTGGGTACTGAAGTACCTTACAGTTGAGTCGTGCAGGAGAGTTTTGACGACGTTTGTCGTATGAGGCCACTTTTCATCATGCAGAAAAACTCACTGGATTTGTCTGTTAAGCTTCTCCTGCTGTAGGACCTGGTTTAAACCGTACAGTTGGATTGCTTATGGTGTGGTTGATCGTCGCCTCTTGTCCAGCAATATTCAGTGCGGGACGTCCTGCCCGTCCCCCGAAAAGTCTTGTTCAGGGACATCCTGCTCAGCTCCTGCTCTTTTGTATCACTCCAATTCTTTTTTGTCTTATATTGATGAACAAACGCCACGTTACATAATCGACACAAAAATCTTTGCAAAAACGCTTCTTTTCATAACGAAAAAGGCGCAAATGCCGAAATTGCTCCTTTTTGCCTTTCAAAATTTCCATCTTTGGAAGCTGCGAGATCCGAGTGAATCAGCTTTCCACGAAATCAGTAGATGTATTGTAAAAAGCACAATCAGCCCTTCCAAACGATATATGCCTTCCGCAAATCAACCGCTCCTCAAAGATATGAGTACGAAAATAAAAACGCTACGAACTTATGGAACGACCTAATACAATGAACAAGCTGGAGTTTCATAGGATTTTTTGCAAAATTCAAATTCATAAAATTTCTTTGATTTTGACTCTATATTTCACCTGAAGTACGGGTGAGGCGCAGTTATTCTGTAGAGCTTGCTACACTCTATTGAATGACCTAAATCAGTTAAGAAAACAAAAAACAGCTTAATTTGTCCAAAAGAGTTTATTTTTGGGACAACCTATTATATTTAAATGGCCGAGTTCTCAGTCAATTTGAACCAATGTGTACTGTGAATTACTATCAAATAGTGATAGCGATACTCAAACGTCTCACTTGGAAGTGAAAAAGGTTAGGTTAAGGTTAACAAAGGTCAACAAACCATTCTTGATATAGCTGTTCTCCCCTTAAAGGAAGTGGTATCCAACAAATAGAGGGTCTGTTCATACTAATGAACAGAACGAGTCTAAGACGGTTTCGTAGAAAGCATCTGGTCCAATGAAAGCGTGAAAAGAGTCCAGTCGGCGCTTTGTTACAGACAAGCCCATAAATTAGCCTTACAATCTTCAATCCATAGAATTGTTCTAGAGACTGAAACATATGGATCAAATCAGCATAGAAAAGCACATGGAGCTCATGATCAAATGAGTCGTCAGTGAGAGTAATCCTTTAAAATGATATCCGCAGTTATTCTTGGTTACTCTGTGTTCCTGGCAACAGAGTTCTAAACATTCGCACAGTTTCCTTACAAAACGCTGTTTTAGCAAATTCTCCATAGGATAACACAAAGTGAGTGATTAAATTTAACTCAACTTCAATTCAACCGAAATCTGCCTTTTTCATACGCAAATATTTGAAGCGAGAATGCGCAAGCAGATCAATGAGCTCGAAATCCCTTGGAGGCAGCGTCCAGGCAAATTTGGAAATTTTCGGATACTATTATACCATAACCGAGTACTAGGGCCTCGATCTAGAACTATCGTGCAAATCCGACTTTCAAACACCTCCTGCAAAAAAAGAAAAATCGGCGCAGAAAACCTCGAGGACCACGCCCACTCCCTCACACAGCCCGCCCCCGTGACGAATTTCAGCCCTTGACTTGTTTTCTCGTGACACATTCGAACACATAGAGCCTGTTGATGCTCGTTTTCGACAAGGATAGCACTAGGAGCACTCGCCCACGGTGCTCATGGCATTGTCTCAAAAATGGGGTTTTTTAAAGGAATTTACGCATTTTGAGTGCCATATGATATCAGCGCCATTAAAAGGCCTGGATAAGGCAAGAAATAGAAGTCGATATTTTGCCCGGACGTACCTTCAAAGAATTCGTACTGCCAATCGTTCACACAGCTTCGTGGAAGCCATAACCAACCCAGATGCACTTGAATATCACGAGCACGTACAAAGAAGTACAGGTTACGTAAGCAAAACAGCATATGACTTTAACAACACTCAAACGTTTGAATATACTCTTGTTTTGCCTGTTAATTTCATGGAAGATCATCATAAAAGGACGGAGCAATTGAATATCTACAATGACATGAATGCGAGCCTCTTGTTAGTATTGGTGGGTTCCTTCTTCTTTTAAACTATGTCCAAGCCTTTAAGGAAACTTTTAAAAATCATGTTGATTGAGCTTCCAATAGCTCATTCTACTGCTTTTTTATGAGTATGTTTCAGGTCACTGCGATAGCTAATGTCAGAGCAATATGCGAAGCGTTTTCAGAATACCATGCGTACTCGCCTAATGAGACTGATAATAACCGAACAAGACAGGAAGTGGTAGATATCGTTTCTGAAGCGGTCAGTTGAAAAAGATGCAAAAGCTGAATGCACACCTAATGTATTTGTTATATAGGAGAATATTTGATACGCTCCTCTAAGGTAGAAATTTTTGACTCAAATGCAAGGCGATCACGCACTAAACCATATTTTTCAGAAATATACTTGCACTTACGAGGCGTATGCATCTGACATTCGCGATACTCTTTATAAAAAATAAATACAAGTATCAGTTTGTCTCAATTTTCAAAAAAAGTGGAAAATGAGCTACGCAGTACCAAACCTAAATTGAACTCTACAGTCATACCTAAGTAGGTTCATGCTGAATTAGTCTTTTTATCTTGAATAGATCCTTTTTTCTTTTTTGCAGAAGCGAATTCAAAAAGCAGATGGAAGAGAAAAAGGAAAAGGTAGTAAATATTGGCTGTGCGTTATTCACAAGCAACCTAATTGAACCAGAAGCAACTACCATTGGACCATTTATTCCAACGCGAAACGTCAAAGGAAAGAAAGGAAAAGGAAAAAAAAGCACCAAAGGAAAGAAAAAGAAAAGGAAGCAAAGCAAAGGTTCTAAAAAAGGACTCAACGTTGAGAGAAGGAAGAAATTCAAAAGGCTAGAATGGCACCGGTGCAACACATAAGGCGAGCGAAAAACAAAAAAGTAAAAAAGCGCAAGAAGTCTTGCAAAAGCAAAAAGAAAGGCAGCCGAAGGAGAAAGAAGTGTAAAACGAAAAAAATTGCGAAACCTCCAACTCCCAGCTCACCTGCACAACCTCAAAAACCTGTAACAGTTTGCTACATGTGCGTGTTCTTTGAATCAGGATTTTCCGTAAATTCTCGAGAGACTTAGATCATGTTATTATTTGTACAACTCTCCGTTTACTCTGTATTTATATCTTATGTAAAGTATTTGATGATTAAGTCGAAATGTCAGAACCATGAATACTTTGTACAGCGTGTTTGGTTCAAACATTATCACGTGTAATTTCGAAAGCGAAGTAGCTGATAAAAAAATAGACTTTGCTCTTCCTCTATGCCTCTCTGCGAACATCTATCACAATTTGTTAGCAACTGAAGAAGCAAATCAGAATACCACGCATTAAGTTTTTGAAGGTGGCACGGCGTTAGCTGATTCGTGATTTGGCGTTGCGGATATTACCCCGTAGGTTTTGGACATATTTTCTCGGAACTGTACAGCGATTATAAAGAACTGCAGACTGACCGCATTTCAAGGGTGCATTCTAAAGTAGTTTATTCCAAGTCTTTATTACTGATAAACGCCTTCAGGCAAAGGAAGCAAACTTGTAATGAAATGTCCATACGTTGAAGTCCTGTCAATTTTGGATATATACTTCGCCTGTATAAGAACAGCTGATGATTTTGATGGAGGGAATTCACGCAGCACTAGTTTTTTTTTCAATCTCGTGCTTGGCTTTGATTTTCATTCTGTATGGAACATTGTTCAAAATTGCCAAAGCCAACTCCTGCCTAGCGCTGCTGTCATCCTCTCATAGACTTTTTAGACTGTATATATTCACACGCAATTCTTCTATCAATCATCTCCACAAGCTTCAAACTTGAACTTAATTAAATTTCTGCGGTCTGAATAAACTGCGCTTCTGTGATTTTTGTCATTGCCATCCTGCGAGCAAGGAGTTTTTGCGCATGTAATTCTTTGTTTCAAAAATTCAAAATTGCAAGTGATTTATCACTCACTGTGGGACTTCGCGGTATAGCGGGCTATTGTGAAACGTTAAGAAATCCTCAAAAGATCTCATTAATGATAGATAAAGATAAAGTAACTTCAAAGTACGAATTGGCTTTTTTTTCTGTAACCGGGGATATTAAAAGCGAATTGTATTACCATAAAAGCCCATTGACTCTGGTAAGCAGAAAATTTCTATCCTCGAGCCATGCTTTTCTATAGGGTGCGGAAAAACGGTCCCTCATTACCCTTCCATCACAGATAAGGAAATTTGTAGTTTTTCAATTTTCACGTTTAGATGTTGCTTTGGAGATCAGAATAAAACAGTACCCTATTTTCAGGTGTATAAGCCGCACTTTTCAAATTTTCACACGAGCTGCTCAGCCGCTTAAATGTGTTTCGAGAAGCGATCCTTATGCCGCACGATTCTTTCAGGCAATACGCAGCACGGCATAGGGTCCTTCCCTTGCGAGGTCCTTTGATGTGTTCGGGCTGGTCGATGTAAGCTAGAACCACCCCGCCACTTATACACCTGAAAATAGGTACTTGAAACGGTCTCCTTCCTTCTACAAGTAAGTGATAACAGCGAGCGATGATCTCTTCCATAATCTATACTCAATTGATCAGTGACCTTTCGAATTTGAATTTTTGGCAGAATAGGAAAATTAGTCTAGGCGGATCGGAAAGATGGAACTGATCTGCTCCTGCTAACTATGACTTGAAATTCCATTAAAAAAAATAATAGAATAATGAAAGGAACATCGGGCTTTGTCTATCATAATGTTGGGTACTTTGACCATTTTTTGCTAGAATGTATCCTTACTTTGATCCATATCGAGGTTACCAGAAACCCTGAATTTTTGAGCCTTGTTTGGACATTACTTCATCAGGTAACTTTATCTTCTTTTCTTCGGCAGAAATGCGTCGAGATATTGGTAAATAGCAGTGAAAGCATGAACTAGGGGGCTAAATTCTTGCTAGATGGACATATAGCACATATGTTTTAGTGTTTCATAAACCTTTAGATTTGCACCTCAATCAATTTTTCAAAATTGACATCTGCATTATTGTGCGGTATCAACCATACCTTCGATAGTCAAGAGACAGAGGCTAGAAAGTGATAGTTGTTTGAGTTCCTGCCCCCTATAAAAAGTGAAGGTTGTTTCAGAAAAATAGACGAAAATTTAGAGATACAAAATAAAATAGGAAACTCAGATCATATAAAGCAGAGGTTAGCACATCACCAAATCTGAAACCTTAACTTGGTGGTTTCCTACGCAGAGTTTCGTCTCCAGGATTGCCGGTTAAATTGGGTGGCAACAACAACAAAGTTCTTTTCCAATCAAAAAAGTGCTGTTTAGCTGTGGCGTTAGTTGGGAGACCGAAAGAAGAAGAACTTGTCAACAACTGAATTGAACGTGCTAAACATGTCTGTAAAGTTGTGTTGCACATCGACGCCAATCTGATTTTTGATCGTTCTTTAAATTTTCACCCCCGCATAGTCGTTTCGTACGCTGCGACGTTGTCTGGATTCTTCCGCTCATCATTCTGAGCAAGTAGCGTCCAGGTTTGAAAAAATTCGTTGCAAAAGCACAGAAAGAGAACAAGGTAAAGAAAAACGCACTTTTTTGTATTTTTCACCAAAAAAAGCGGCATAAGAAAGAAGTAAGCTCGGCGACGTTGTCTACATCATAGACAGAAACAAGACCTATCGAATACACAAAAAAACTGAGTGAAAAAAGTTGAACTGAAGAAAAAACAAGAGGTTTTCGAAAACGCCGTTTTTCGAGGATTTCTCGTTCAAATCCTAAAAAGAAGTTCCGCGACGTTGTCAGCGTGAAAATAGAGATCAAGGGCTTTGATATGATATATAGATTATCGAAATTGGGCTCCAAACAACGAAGAAAAGGGTACCAGAGCCAAATGCCCCGCGCCCCGCATTTGAGGTAGCGAGGTAGCGCGCAGCGCGCGGAGACGCAGACGAGCAGCGGAGACAGACCAGAGCCGACGGGGCATTTGGCTCTGGTCGTGATCTTTGCGGGGTCTCAACGAAACCCTGCAACATTATATATCGTTGTGATCCACATGAGACGGCCAGCAGCACTGATAACGTCGCGGGTCTTGAAAATCACTCCATAACGAGATAGACCGCGTTCATATGGCGACTCTTTGCGCAAGATTCAAGCGCAGTTTTTCGTTTTTGTTGAACTCTGGCGGCTTTAATGAACTTCTAACATTCAACCGCAGTTCATAGAAAGGTTAATTGAGAAATTGTGCTCTAGATTTTGATTGAATTTTCAAATAAAAACCTTCTTCTCAACAAAAAAGGCCATAAAAACGCAATCCTTCGGTTTTTTGAGCTTCTTTTGAATGTCACTGCTATAATTGCCTCATTTAAATTTATCCCTATACGGTTATGTCATTAGTTATGTCATGATTTCCGGGGCTTTGCCCCGGATGACTTCTGTACTTCTCCTCAGGTGAAGGTTGTGTTCTATCATGACGCTCAAAGTGAAGGTTACCAGAGTACATGGCTCTATGTATCGAAGGTATGGTATCAACGTACCAATTGTTCGCTAGAACAAACCTGATACTGAAGTTTCACAGTACATTTTCAGATAAGACAAAGATTATTCATGAGAGGCAAAGTGTTTCAAAAAGACAACTAGATTTGTGCGTGATTTAATACATCCAAAATATAAAGGGACAAGAGTCATACCGTGCAGTAATCAAAAACTACCTATCCTCGAAGCTCAAACAATGGGCTAGCGGCACAGGAAGTGCTTAGTAGTGATTCTGTTTATAATCACTTTATTCAATCTGGGATTGAAGGATGTGTAAACAATGTCGTGCATAAATTCTATAAAGCACGTAAACATATTTGAATGCACTGTTGTTTTGTACCCTGATGAATCCAGATAATGGTCATTATAGAGGATAGCAAGTACAAAGTGCCATACATGCCGAATGTCAGCCTCTTCCTACTGCTAGTAAGTATTTTATTCTATTGTAATACTTGCGCCCAAATTGCCGATAATGACGGGTTCAGTTCATTAGAAGTAGAAAACCTTAAAAGATATCCGAGAAGATTTCAGCATGCATAGAATCGTATGTGGTATATATTCGTGATGGTAAAAGTTGGAGTTGAGCATAAAAACCACATTCGGTTTTAGTAAGTGATATCAAAAGTGCTTGAAAGTTCTCAGCTAATTATTAGGTCATTCCGAAAGTAATTTCGCTCTTTTCAAACGGACGCCACATGTGATGGAACAAACATTTTAAGGTGATCTTGGTAGCATTTGATGCAGCATTTCATCTTCTTTTCAGAAGTAATGAAACCTTTGCAGCTCTGTCATTGAGCTTTCGGAAAATAACCAAAACCTGCGACCCGAGCTTTTTGAGATTGTCAAGTTTCACAATTTCTCAAAACTTTCATATCAATCCTCAGATGAAGTTCAAATAACGATTAGATAGAGCAAACCTTATAGGATACAGCACAACTTTTTTCTCTTTTTCATTGGTCGCCGTAATTTTTTGAAGGTATTTTTCACCAAAATTATTGGATTTTGGCAAGCCTATGTCAGTCACAATCGCATCAAACATCAGTAATTACTTGGAATTCGAAGCTTCCAAAGTGATATATGACTTAACGTTGATTTTATAAACCAAATGAGAGATACGGATTCGAAATATTTAACTTCGAGTTTTTCGAGTACAGCCTTGGGCGCGTTCAAAAACATGAGTTATGACGATTTTATCCCCGAAAACTGAACAAATCGGAAACAAAAGACATCTATTAGAAAGAGGAGAGAAAGCTGCATCAAACAGCACCCGAGCTGCTCTCTCATTGATGTTCTACGAGATTTGAGTTGACCAAGTATGAAAATTGGTAGCATCAATTGAAATTTTATTAAAAAACTAGTTGGCATGCCCAGCTCCGCCCGGGCCTGTCAATAATATATTTGTAATCAGCATGCTCGATTACCCCCCTGTGCCAACTCTCAGCCCTGTAGCTCAAATTTTGCAAAAAATCGATAAAATCGATGTCGTTCGATAACGAAAAGTAGCCTGTGACACGCTCCCTGCCCCGAAGTATATGTGTGCCAAGTTTGATCCAAATCGGTTCAGAAATAAAAATTTCTATTCCGCTCATACGCACAGACAGACAGACAGACAGACAGACAGACAGACATTCAGCTTTATATATAAGATTTTGAGGAGGTATGTGAAGGAGAAAAAAATTGATTTGTATCCTGTAGGGTTTGCTCTATCTAATCGTTACTTGCATTCCTTCTGAGGTTTGATATGAAAGTTTTGAAAAATTGTGAAACTTGACGATCTCAAAAAGCATGGGTCGCAGGTTTTGGTTATTTTCCGAAAGCTCAATGACAGAGCTGCAAAGATTTCACTACTGTTAAAGGAGGATGAAATACTGCATCAAATGCTACCAAGATCACCTTAAAATGTTTTTTCCATCACATGTGGCGTCCGTTTGAAAAAAGCGAAATCACTTTCGGAATGACCTAACACTTACATTTAAAACCTTTGATTGGTGTATGTGATATTTCCGAACCTTTCCAGAAAATCACTGATATAAAACCCTTTTAATGAGAACGTTCCAGGCCACTGTAACTAATGTCAGAGCAATATGCGAAGACTATCTGCGATTCCATGCCTATGCTAATACTCAGATAGAAAATGACCAAAAAAGGCAAGAAATCGTAAATCTTGTTACTGAAGGGGTGAGTAGATCAAGATTCGAAATGATGTTGTATTGAAGCAATGATATGTGTTTCCCTTCTTAGTTTAAAAACGTTAGATCATGTAAAACCCTCGTATGCGGGTGGCGAGCAAGCGGAACGATTGCTTGTGGGTGTCAATAACTCGCGCATCTTTTAACGTCCTTTTTGTCCACCAGTACGCAGAAACCTAGAGCATTTCTTCCTATTACACTTTCATATGAACAGGAAAGTGAGATAGAGCCTGTTTGCTTGAAAATGAACTGTGAAAATAAGTTTTAAACAAAAAAGGATTTTAAAGATTAAACTTCAAGTATTTCAAGTTTTTCTTGCAATAACATTACCAAACTGCACTTACCACTGGGCTCTAAGCAGAATTCATCGGTAGAGCATTCACTCCAGTTTTACTCAAGTTTATAAGTCTGAAATCTGCGCACTTCGAGGCAAATATTGTATTGGCAGCAGCGGCTGGCAATTGCTATCGTTCCTCTTGCACCACACTCCTCAAATTAGTGACTGCCAATTTCAGCGTACTTTTCCAGAAATACGCTTGTTCTTACGAGGAGTTCGCGTCTGAGATTCGTGACAGACTTGTGACTGAACTGAAGCAAAACGAAAGCATCTCCATCTCCTTCTCCGAACTACAAGAGCTAGCGGAGGACATACTTAACGAACGGCGACGTCAACTAAACTCTACAGTTATAGAAAAGCAAGTCTAGACTATATGATCGTTTTACCTAATGTAAACTATGAAATGATGTTTTGCAGGAAAGATCTCCACAGTGAACTCAAGAAACTACAAGAACAGGCAGCACTTATCGGTTGTGCACAGTTTGAACGCAAACCAGACAAGCAACCAGATAAAATCACCAGCACCACCCCTGTCACCACCACTGTGACAAGGAAAGGAAAGCGAAACAAAGGACCTAAGAAAGGCAAAAAAGTGAACAAGAAGGGAGGAATCAAAAATCCCAAAAAACCAAAAAAGAAAAGCCAACAGAAAGGAGGAAAGACAAAAGCAAAAATGAAATCTGAAGCTATGACATATAGGGTGTTGAAACTCAACGCTCCACCAGTGAAAAATATAAGGCATGGAAAAAATAATAAAGGAAATAAAAAACCCAAAACTCCATCAAGGAAAAGCAAGCAAGGAAAGGGGAAAAAAGCGAAGAAGAACAAGCGGAAGAAACCTAAGCGGAAGAAGCAGACAAAGCCTATTCCTACACCCGCTATCGACGTTTATTACATATGTGTGTCTTTTGAAAAACAATTTGTTAAGCAAAAACTTTCTAAAAGAAATTAGTCTACTCTATCAATTAGTTATGTACAGCTTACAGCCTTATTGTTTATTGTTCTTTTGGATAAAGCACTCAACTATCAATCAAGACTTCAAGAGCTTTTATTATAGTCCAATAGATCGGACTTCCGCATTCTCAGTGTCTTTAATTGGACTGATACCCACGTAGCGAAGCTGAGTATGATTAATCTATAGCTCATTTGAAATCGTGACGACGGATTCGACTTCGGTCTTTGTGCCCACAGCATAAAACACTTATAGAAAAAGGCATCACCTTAAAGTTCAATCGCCTTCAGTGTGTAAATCTTATCATATATGAGCAGAAAAACCTCAAGTAGATATGAATACTAAGAAAATGGGTTGCCGGAAGACGCGTGCGTGTTGCGCGCGTTCGCGCTATTAGATTTTTTGAATGCCCTATACCTTCGTCTGCCTTCCACTCTGGATTAAAAATGGGAGGTATCGTAAGCTTTTGTCCAAAGTGAAGAACGAAATCGATGCAACGAGATGATTTTGTTGCATGCTTATTTTTGAAGGCATGTGTTCAGGTAGGACATATGCTACCTTAGGATTTGTGCGTACTCCTAAAAATTCCAAATGCTATGCGTTTTTTCAATTTTTTCAGAATCTCAGTTTAGATAATAAGACTGTATAGGCCGCCCGCACCGTGCAACGCTGCCGCGTTCATCGAAGATAGTTCATGATGAAGAGGCGAAGAGAAAACAAGCAACGAAAGTGCATGAGAAAAGAGGAGAGCGCGCGATACACACTTTGCGCACTCCGATCTGCGCGGACAGCCTATAACATGTTACATCTCCACATTAAGCACCGCTTCCAACTTGTCGCGCAACTGTTTGTCGAAAGTGCTTCTTCAATTACTGACAACTGGATTTTTGCATACTGCGACAAAGCGCAGCGAAAATTTAAGAACTTGTTGTCTTACAATTATCCACTACAAATCATCAAGGAAGCCCTTCTACTCTTAGGTATTGTCGTAGTCAGCAGTCAGTACCTTTTGTAGGAAGTTGGTGTTTAAAGGCACCGGCTCGGCAGATTTTCAACTTCGGGGTTTCGGCAGATTTGGGGCTATTCCGTTCCGGCCCCCTGAATCACGACATGAACTTCCCTTAGCGCAAAAATGGGGAAAACCCCGTCTTTTGAAATCCCCTTTGAGACGGGCGCGGACGAGTGAGCCGTTCTTCTCTGCCGTCGGAGACGCAGAGTAAGGAGGTAGAGAGCACTAGAACAATTCTGCCCTACGAAGCTACGATTGACGGCGCGTTTTCTAGCGGAGAACACACTCGTCCGAATAAGGTGTTAGGGGGGAGAACGGAGGAAGGGAGCGACGGTTAGGCCGTTCGCCTGGCTCATAGATTGCACATTTTCGACGCGGGGTTGCTGTTTTGCTTCAATTGGAGGGCCTCCTATCCATTTGTGTCAAAATCTGAGGTAGGTTCATTCTGCCGAGACGCTGCCTTTAAGGTGCGAATATTCGAACTCCCTTTTACAAAGCTTGGTTTGCTCTGTTAAATAAAACCCACTCATATTTTGTCGTTTTCACTCTGCCGCGATATTCATGACAGCTCTTAATGCGTATTGTCTGATAAACACAATACTTATAATGTATTAGAATACTATACCAGAATAATAAACAGAGACGAAGGGTTTAGTAGAGACTTATGAAGATTGAATAAAAATGGATTCAGCATGAAATGATTATACAATATATCTTCGTCACCTAAGCTCTTTCTCGAGAGCATATTTTTCACATCAACATTCAGATACAGATTTGTAGTTATCAGTATTCGTTCGCATTTCAAATAGCTTATTAGACTTGGACTTGAATAATTTTCTAGTTGGAACCGACGCGTGCTGGGTGTTCAACTCAGGTGCGGATTTCACTATCAGAGAACCCCTAGCAATTGACCACCGCTTTGTAGATTTCTTTTTTCAACATTTTGAACAATTAAAGGCAGTGGCTCTGCAAATCCTCCACTTTTGGTTTTTTCGCTCATCCGGGGTAATTAGACGCGCAGAATCCAAAAATCCACCTTAAGACCTAAAAATGGCGAAAACCAGCATCTTCCAAGACCTCTTAGTTTTAATCTGGACGAGTGGAACGGTTCCCGCCATGGTTAGAGACGCAGAGTGTTGTGGTAGCCTCATGTTCATAGCATTGCGGCATGCCGCCTCTGGCGGCGTGAGGAGTATTGCGAGCTCGTTCAAGTGCGTGTAAGAATGGCTTGCGCGCACGGATTTAGGGGCAATTTTCTAGGCAGGTGTTGCATGCTGCGCGCTCGGACCTGCTCCATTCTCGTGTTTGGGGTGCAAGGAACCTTCCGTATAAAGATTTCGAGAGGTTCGATTTTGCGGAGCCACTGCCTTTAATCACATAGGTCTAAAACGATGGTAGATATTTATCCTGTGTATTTCTATATTTCTGCCACATGTAGCTCGTATATCTTCATGGAAAGTCCGCAGGTCAAGGAAAATATGCAGTCAACATTGCGCATTTTTATTAGGCGGGTCCGAAAATTGGTGCCGTTTTTTAGACCCATCATTAAATCATCTTATATATAAAGCTGAATATCTGTTTGTCTGTATGTCTGTCTGTCTACACAGACAGACATACAGACAAACAGACATTCAGCTTTATATTAGGTTGTCCCGAAAGTTTTGTCGGTTTTTTCAGACCACTGTAACACCACGCACAATAAAGACCTGAGTGAGTTTCAACATGCATTCGATGCAGCTTTTCCTTCTCTTTCTTATGGATGCACTTACATACCATAATGTTACATGGTTTCTTTGGTAATTGCCGAAATTCTCCACCTGTCAATTTTACCTGCTCAAAGTTGAGCTGATTTTTAAAAATTTCGTTACATAGTTTTGAAAAAGATCAAGTATGAGTCAAATAGAGCAACTCTCGGGCTACAAAATGGTATTTTTAGATTCCCCTAGTTTGCTGATTTTGACTTCAAAAAACTATTTCTTCTAAGGTCTCGATTTTTGGCTGAGTTATGAAACGCCCAATTGCAGCAAAAGCATGAAAACTTAGGAAGTTTTTGCGAATTCAAATTGGTTGTTATTAAGCATCATTTATGCAACATAACCAAGTTGATTTGCTTCAAAAATCAGCTTTTTGGAATTTTCGGTAATAAATAATTATCACGGACTTGATAAACGTGGCCCACGTAATCTAAAACAGCCACAATGTAGCCAAAGGTTTGCCTTACATAACAGTCACTAGCGCTCTTCGAAAATATCAAGAAAAATTTTTTGAAAATTCAGGAAAGTTTTGGCGTTACTGCTGAGGTGCTCAAAAAGCCATGGCGATAACATCGCAAAGACGGGGTAGATCAGGGAACAATTATAGCTATAAGAAAGAGGATAAAAATATGAATAGATTGACACCTAGGCCGTTCATGGAATGGTGTTCTGTGAGGTTTGGTGAGCGATGAAAAAAACCGACAAAACTTTCGGGACAACCTAATATATAAGATGATTGTATGTGTGTACGTATGTTCCAAATAGAAAATTCCATTTCTTAACCGATCCGGACCCAACTTGGCATACATACACTCCGGGCCCGGCGGGTGTCACAGGCTACTTTTCGTCATCGATCGATATCGACTTTATCGATTTTTATCGATTTGCAGAGTTCACCTACAGGGCTGGGAGTTGGCACAGGGGGGTAATCGAGCATGCTGATTACGAATACAATATTGGTTTTTAATCGTTCATTAGTTTTATCGATTTTATCGATTTTTTTGCAAAGTTTGAGCTACGGGGCTGGGATTTGGCACAGGGGATAATCGAGCATGGGGATTCCGAATACAATATTAGTTTTCAGGATTATCGATTACTTTTATCGATTTTATCAATTTTTTTGCAAAGTTTGAACTACGGGGCTGGGATTTGGCACAGGAGGATAATCGAGCATGGGGATTCCGAATACAATATTAGTTTTCAGGATTATCGATTACTTTTATCGATTTTATCAATTTTGTTGCAAAGTTTGAACTACGGGGCTGGGATTTGGCACAGGGGAGGGGGTAGGAGCATGCTGATTACGAGTTCGATATTAGTTTGGCGCTATTCGGCTATCCGGGCACAAAATTTTTTTTGCGGTAGAGCTTGCTCAAACTTCGTATATAAGGGTTATCTTAACGGCCGGGCATACTTCAAGCGATTTCAATCGCGATGCGATTTGGCAATATTCCAGGTATCTATAACTCATTGTAAGCACATTATAAATGTACGGAAAATAGGGTATTTCATCAGTATACGTAAGTTATACACACTATGTATGCATGTGCAGTTTGCTAATGTTGGATCGAAGACTTCTGGCGAATTGCAAATCGCGTCGCGACTGAAATCCCGTGAAGTATGCCCGGCCCTTTACATGCTGATTACAGATAT